ATCAACTTTAGCTGCTTCTCCATTTTATACTTGTATTTAAGTGACTCTCAATTTCATTGTACAAACTTAATTTTTAATCTTAATTTTAAATTATTTAAGCTATTGCTTCACCATTTTATACCTGTATTTAAGTGACTTTGAATTTTACTGTACAAACTTAAATTTTAATATTAATTGTTAGTTATTTTAATTTCTAATCAATTAGGTTTTGACAGTATGTATTAGGTTTTTTAGATTCTTAATCTTAGAGGCACGTACGTATTTTGAACGGGCTCTATGAGCTCCTTGACGCTACGTGGGTAAATAAAGTATTGATTGATTGATTGATCAATATTTACAGTATCAAGTGAGAATTTGGGCAACATGAACATAATTCTCCTACATATATTTAGGGACATAATTCTTCTACACATATTTTGAAATCATACCGAAAAAGAATACAATTAAATTTTACACCAAATTGAGAGAACATGAAAAAAAAAAAAAAAAAGAAACATGTACAAATTCAACCCAAATCACTAAACACTCACCTTGCTTACATCCTCAGTCTGTGCTGTAGGATTTTTCCGTTTAGCTGTCTTCAGTTTTCGCTTTTTTGCCTTAAAGAAAAGAGGAAAACCAGATGTAATTAGTGTTGACTACTATTTTCGATAACTGTCCAGATACCAGAGTATTCTGTCAAGTTCACTCACAATGTTATTGGCTTCGAGACATTGCCCTATGCGAAGTTAACTCGTGTATAATTACCTTACGCTGCTACTAAAAACAAGCAAAAAGTTTCGATTGTAATAATTCAACAAATAAGAAAACGAGAGTATGATTAAACAACACTTATGAGTACCAAGCCTTACCTCTCCCTTGTCAGGAGTAAATTTGCTTGGCTCTTTGATGACTCGTCTGTGGCGTGCTTGAGAGATGGGTGTGGTGTCCTGTGGATCTACTTCCATTTCTCCATCATCTTCACTTGGGTCACACTCCGAACATTGCCTGTTGACACAAGATGCAAATAATTTTCATGGTTCAGTGCAGAAATACTCAAACCAAGGTTTTGGCCAAACCTCCTGAACTGTATTCGTTTCTCACGACATCGCTCTCTTTAAGAGAGAGGACTCACAAGAAAGTTAACCTCCGATCAGTAATTCCACCTACTGAAATTTTCAATTCATAACTAACGCAAAACACACAAAGATGAACTTCGCAAACTTTTTTCAAAATAAAAAAGATTGTAGAGCTACATGTTTTGTTGAATTGAACAACAACGACAAAATTTGATGGCGTTGTTTTAAACCGCGGATGACAGTGGTCCTTAGAAGGACTGCTGAAAGGGATTCGTCACTAGAGGTAAGGGAAGTAATAAGCATGTTGTAGAAGTGAGAATACAATTGATACAAAGGTACCTGGATATCAAACACTTTTCATTTGAAACATCGAGAAGCTTAACCATCCTCTCCCATCTCAGTCTACAAACTATTGCTCTCATAACTTACCACAAACACTTGGCTGAGCGCTTGGGCATGCGTGTTAGAGGTGGATCGACACATCCAAGATGATAATGATGATGACACGTGTCACACTGTACAAGTTGATGTTGATTTTCTGTTGTTTTACACGTCGCACAACTGGAATATAAACCACAACAAATACAGTTGCTGATCAAGTGAAGGGAGCCAAAAAAGACAACTAAATTTGTCACAACGTGCTTAATGCTCATGCTTTCATCAGTGTTTTAGCAAATGAATAAAGGCTGATAGTTTCGAAAGAAACTGTTTGGGGCTGCGTCGGTGGGAGTAACGAAATAATTTGGATATATCAACAAAGTTGAAATGGTAAATTAGCCACCGTAATGATTACAAAAGCTGACGTTTCGAGCGTAAGTCCTTCGTCGGAGCGAATCTTCGCTCCGACGAAGGGCTAACGCTCGAAACGTCAGCTTTTGTAATCATTACGGTGGCTAATTTACCATTTCAACTTTGTTGATATATCCAAATTATTTCGTTACTCCCACCGACGCAGCCCCAAACAGTTTCTTTCGAAACTATCAGCCTTTATTCATTTGCTAAAACACTGATGAAAGCATGAGCATTAAGCACGTTGTGACAAATTTAGTTGTCTTTTTTGGCTCCCTTCACTTGATCAGCAACTGTATTTGTTGTGGTTTATATTCCAGTTGTGCGACGTGTAAAACAACAGAAAATCAACATCAACTTGTACAGTGTGACACGTGTCATCATCATTATCATCTTGGATGTGTCGATCCACCTCTAACACGCATGCCCAAGCGCTCAGCCAAGTGTTTGTGGTAAGTTATGAGAGCAATAGTTTGTAGACTGAGATGGGAGAGGATGGTTAAGCTTCTCGATGTTTCAAATGAAAAGTGTTTGATATCCAGGTACCTTTGTATCAATTGTATTCTCACTTCTACAACATGCTTATTACTTCCCTTACCTCTAGTGACGAATCCCTTTCAGCAGTCCTTCTAAGGACCACTGTCATCCGCGGTTTAAAACAACGCCATCAAATTTTGTCGTTGTTGTTCAATTCAACAAAACATGTAGCTCTACAATCTTTTTTATTTTGAAAAAAGTTTGCGAAGTTCATCTTTGTGTGTTTTGCGTTAGTTATGAATTGAAAATTTCAGTAGGTGGAATTACTGATCGGAGGTTAACTTTCTTGTGAGTCCTCTCTCTTAAAGAGAGCGATGTCGTGAGAAACGAATACAGTTCAGGAGGTTTGGCCAAAACCTTGGTTTGAGTATTTCTGCACTGAACCATGAAAATTATTTGCATCTTGTGTCAACAGGCAATGTTCGGAGTGTGACCCAAGTGAAGATGATGGAGAAATGGAAGTAGATCCACAGGACACCACACCCATCTCTCAAGCACGCCACAGACGAGTCATCAAAGAGCCAAGCAAATTTACTCCTGACAAGGGAGAGGTAAGGCTTGGTACTCATAAGTGTTGTTTAATCATACTCTCGTTTTCTTATTTGTTGAATTATTACAATCGAAACTTTTTGCTTGTTTTTAGTAGCAGCGTAAGGTAATTATACACGAGTTAACTTCGCATAGGGCAATGTCTCGAAGCCAATAACATTGTGAGTGAACTTGACAGAATACTCTGGTATCTGGACAGTTATCGAAAATAGTAGTCAACACTAATTACATCTGGTTTTCCTCTTTTCTTTAAGGCAAAAAAGCGAAAACTGAAGACAGCTAAACGGNACAATCATAAGACACATGAACTGTGTTGTCCTACATTTGCAGCCAGCTTGCACAGAACATGGTGAAGTTCTAATGAATCATAAGACACATGAACTGTGTTGCACTACATTTGCAGCCAGCTTGCACAGAACATGGCGAAGTTCTAATGAATCATAAGACACCTGAACTGTGTTGTCCTACATTTACAGCCAGCTTGCACAGAACATGGTGAAGTTCTAATGAATCATAAGACACATGAACTATGTTGTCCTTCATTTACAGCCAGCTTGCACAGAACATGGTGAAGTTTTAATGAATCATAAGACACATGAACTGTGTTGTCCTACATTTGCAGCCAGCTTGCACAGAACATGGTGAAGTTCTAATGAATCATAAGACACATGAACTGTGTTGC